CTGACCCCCCGTCCGTGTTGCATCCTACAGTCTACACACAGTGCCATGACTGCAGGGAGGGCTCCAGCCACGCAGTATTTTATCTAGATCTGAGAAGTGTGACCAAACAAATCAAGCTGATTGCTGATGGGAGTCCTTTTTCCTGGAGGCTGCATTTGTCTGCATTCCTGACAGCTGCAATCCACAACATTTTTGTGGAGACAGAGTAGTCTAGAAGAGGATGGAGAGACATGGGTTGGATAACTACCTCTGCCATAGGCTATATAGCTTTGGGTGATTCAGCTGACTTCAGTAAAGGCTTGGAAATCTATGGATGAAGTGCCAAATAAATTAAATTAGGGGCAGCTCTTGAGTTCCCAATAAATAGCCATAAAAATTTATGTGACTCTGCTTTAGCAAATATGTCTATAAGAGGTGCCTTCTAGGCCTTACATGCCACAGTTAAGCTTTTAATACACTCTGGCGGATCCCAAATTTGAGCCCAGAATTTTCTAATTTTCTACATCAGAAAGAAATAGTAGCTTGTCTCCTGTTTCTTCCCACTGAAGCAGGTCGTAACACCATGGGCTAACTGGCAGGGATAACCAGGCCGCATAGTAAAATGTAAAGCAAAACCAGAGCAGCTAAAGTAAACTTCTGTAGCGTTCAAACCACTTTGGTTTGGTGGAGTTTGCAGCAATATGAGTGAGAGCTGCCAAGATGTAACTTTCCTTAATATGCTAAAATGGCAATGTTTACATAGAACCATATGGGAACTGTAAAGATAGAAGCCAAAAAGGGAGCCCTGCAGGAGAGAAATAATCAGATAACTCTGTGCACCGGGGTAGAGACTGATACCACAAAAGGGTGGAAACAGTTTTGTTCTTGCCAATGCAACAAAGACCTTCAGTATGTGCAAAGCTGGTGTGCAAACCTGAGTCAGGACTCAGTGCTGGGTTCCGTGCCCCATGAACACTAACAAGTTCAAAATGCTCCCTCAGCTCCATGTCACCTCCTCTGCTTGAGGTGACACTCGATATCTGAACCTGGTTCAGACTCTTTGGAGTGAACGCCTGTTCCCATGATCATCCAGTCCATTCCTCAGTTCCATGGAGCTTCGGGCTCTGTAATTCTGGTTTCACCTCAGCATATATATCCATGTATCTGTGTGGATACATGTGGCTTTCACTGAGGATTGTCCTGCACACCACTTGGTCCTGAGCACACCTATTCTTATGTGACTACTGTTGACAAGGGAATACAAAGGTTCCCCGTTTAAAGTTTGGGAACTGAGTCATGAACAGATCAGGCGGTGTCTCCAGTGGCACAGGGAAGACTGTGGTGAAGTGAGTGGGTAAGAATGAAGACCCAGGTTGCCACCCTGCGTGAAGGCCCACCCACCCTGCGTGCACAGGTCTACAGAAGCAGCTCCCCTCTTCCTCCCAGCCTCCCCACTCCAGTCCCACTGCTTATCACACCTTCCTAGGGCACCTACCCACGCAGAGAGTGATGACAGCTCAAAGACAGAGAAGTTATTTTAGAAACAAATCTCTTCAAGAAGGCCACGGGGGGTTCTTCCTGTCATACTTACATCAGGGACAAA